ATATATATATATATATATATATATATATATATATGTATATATACATTTATATATATTATTATTATTATTATCAAACACATTAATTATAAAGGTTTAATTATTTTCAGGATGGATTTGGCGTATTCCCAGGCTTCACTGTAACATACCAATTTGGTCTTAATCGTTCACCCGCTTTATGCGATTTACAACACAAAATGGCGGAATGTTCCGTTAATTGCAAAGTGATATAATTAACACTTACTTGTGTGCAGGATTTGCTTGATCCAATTGTTCACTAAGTTGTTGAATGAGGGAGGCAAACATTTTAAGATGTTCTATAGTTTCACCCTGTAACCATGCTCTTGGTAGCGTACTCATAACCTAACGCACACATATTAGCAGTTTATTAATTACGATTAATATGAAACATCTGTCAGACAAAGCATCTACATCTAGTAATAAATAATTATTGGTTTAATGTTGCTATGAAAATTGACTAACATACCATGTTTGCCTTGACTAAAGCATCGGTTGGAGAAGAAACTCTCAATCCAGCTAACAAATAACGATTTAAAAGCGAGCCTAACGCTAAATTTTTCAATTGTATGTCTCCGAGTAGACCTTGCCAGCTTAGTAAATTTCGTAACAACTTAACAGCCATTGCAAATTGCCTTTGAAAAAATTGATGCTTTGTGTCCCAAACTCTGAAATGACACATTAAATTATGAGTCGAAAATAATGGGGCGATATAAATTTTTCGAAACATTTAACGCGTCAACTCAATTATATATTCAACATACTCACTGTTTTGGAAAAATTGGTATAAAGACATCATTCTCGACGGCAGCTTTAATCTTATCCAAAATAGCATTAAACAGCGTTTCTAATTGTTTGCTCGTGTCATTTAGATTTGGATATTCCTTGATCAAACGATTTATAGTGCCCACAAGACGTAACGTTTGGGATGTTGACATTGGATCCCATATTTTCTCGATGATAGCTAAGAATTAAAAAAATATTAAATATGTAGAATTATCTTTCTTTGTGCGAGATAATTTTATAAAACGTAACATTGTCCTTACATGTCAATTTCGGGATTACAACTTTTTCAATTGTAGACGGTACTAATCTAACGTCTGGATCTTGTTTCAAAGATTCCTCCGTCTCTTTACTGTCCAACGCGTACAAAAGTAATGTATTGTACCACTTCGTTCTCTCTATGTCGGCGCTTTCCTATATGAATATAATTTGTAATTATATACACAAGTTTTAAAAATATGTATATTTTATTAAATTAAATTTAATAAAGCCGCTTGTTGGGAAGAATGAATAAAATACCATAATTGGATTCCATGTAACTAATTGCAATCTGATAATTGGTGAAATCATTTTGGGTATGCACAACGACACATAGGCTTCAGTATAAGCGTCCATATCAGTTTCTCTCCACGATTCAAGTTTCGAAAGAATACCACGTACTGTACAGTATTCATCCAATACATCGGAAAATATATCTTTACAATCATTATCAATTTCATCTGTAACAAAATGAGAAGATATTATACAATTATAACGCACACATATAAAATCAAGTAATTTTACAAAGATTAAAAGACACGATATAAAATTGTTTACTACCTTTTGCTTGTTTAAACGCAAGATTTTGTTGTTCAGTGACTTCATCGTCGCTAGACATGCCATCGATATGTTTTGGCAAAGTTGAAGCCAATTCTCTCGCTCTCCTACGACGGGCTCTTCTACCTTCCCTCTCCGTAGCTCGTCGTACATGAGCTTCTACTTCCGGTCCTCTTCTCACGCCCTGATTTCCTATAAAACAAAGAAGACTGTATAATTCGCCTTACGAAATATCTGCGTTAGTGGTACAGGAAGTTAAGAATCTAAAACTAAAGATAATTGTAGCAGGCATTGAATTTTGTCAATTATATGTGCTAATCCATAAGGAAATTGGTATTTACTCGATGCAGTAGTTATTTCTTCCGCTTGATCTCTCGTATCTTGCCGTCTTCGTTCCATCAATTCGGTCGAGCGTTCACCGTACAGATCTAACCAGCGTTGCTCCAATTTGACAACCAGAGGAAGCTAACAAAAAAAATTCATATATTTAAGTTGATTTAATGAGTTTGTTTAAAATTTACGATATTTAATTCGACGATTCTATAATATAATATAATATATAATTCTTGGAAAGCATTAACTTATTTCAATCAACAACTTCATAAATTACTCAGAAGACTCCTCGATATATTTATAACAACACTGTTTAGACATCAATGAAATAAATAGGCATTAATTTACTTACCACGATTAAATTAATTTGTATTAACCACTCTCGTATTCATACAATGAATTTTATTTATATTATATATATATATATATATATATATATATATATATATATATATATATATATATATATATATATATCTTTATAAAATGTATAACATAATACAGAGAAGATAATGACCCCCGGCAATAGATACATGTGTTACATGTATATATAAATCCTTTATTTTATAAACGTTTAAATTCATCAACAAATACATTACTAAAGAGACTTAGATATTCTTTCATTTTTTAGCAATGCTTATTGAGATAAATTTAGAAAATTTGTCAGTAAACGCTTGAAATTATTTCAACAAATTTGAACTTATCAGCTGCGTCCAAAGCTGATCTGAATAAAGTTAAAAGGGTAAAATTCAAATATTCCTTTGACTTTTTTAAATAAGGTATCTTTAAACTTCTTTAGAACAAAATATCTGTAATACTGGTAGTTAAGATTTATAAGAAGAAGTATATACAATGTTATAATAATTGAAATATAACAATTTGTAATTATTATGTCAAGCGATTCAGTTGTATCTCAAACGACTCGTCTAATATTTTATCTTTATAATCCAATTTTCTACATTAAGTGTGGATAATATGATAATTCAATGAGATAAATTTTTCAAATAATTAAGTTTACTGATGCTTTATTGTGGCCGGAAAATCTCTGCCAGCCACACATTGTACGATCAATCCCAGTGCACATAAATCAAACGTGACAGCGTATCAACCCACCTTCTCATCAAGACACTCTACCAAGTCAGTGACATACCCACGCAACTCTTGGTAATATCTGAAGCGTTGTGCAAAATGCGGTGTACGGATTTCACCCACGTCCAATTCTTTCAAGGCTTGCTGCAATTCTTGCTCTAAACGCTCCTGTTCTTGTTGATGTTGTCTATGCACTTCTTTCAAATTTTCTAACCTTTAAAAGAAATAATGCGCATATTTACACAGGGACTTGCTAGTTTTTCTCCTCACGTGAGATCTGAGGTATCTAGAATAGAATAAAAACCTTGAACGCATCCTATTTACAACTTCTTGTGGTGTAACAGGTACAATCTTTGTCGGATCTGGTGGTTGGATGGACGGCGGTGGTGGTGGTGCTGGCATTAATACCATCTCTAAAGGTACACCTGTTCCCATCATTTGATTAACATTCATACCCATCGTGTATTGCTGTTGTAACATAGAATCTTGCTGTGCTGCTGCAATCTGTGCACATGACATAAACAATGTAGCCACAGAAAATATAAAACATGTTTTATATTAAATCTTAGCTTATTTCAGTAAACCATGTTTTTATACCTGAGCACCAGTTACGCCCTTGCGTATTTGTTGAGCTTCCCATTCCTCTTCTTCATTTTCATGTTCGCTTTCATTATCTGAAACTAAATTAAAAAATGTTCCAGTTCTCGCATTTTCTGGAATGTCTTGAAATTAATTATCGAATAATTATTACGTTCAAAAGCAACACTTCAAGACTTACGTTTTATTGGAACTTGAGAAGCAAGAAACGCTTCTCTCCTCTTTTCCTTGTCGCGTGCTTCTGTGTTGACAGTCATATCAATACGATCTTGAGAATCATCATCGTCACTTCGATCATGATCTTCCTCTCGTATTAGCCTCGACTTGCCCTTCTCATCGCTACAAACACAAAATTGTTACAAGTGTTACATTATGAATAAATGTAATGCTAGCATGGTAACATATATGTAGGTATCAATTTATTAGACTATATTTATTAAACGATATGATAAAATGCTACCTCTGCTCTTCAATAGGAATGTAGTCAGTCCCCAATTCTCTTGCTTTCTGTCTACGTTTTCTTGCTGCATGGATCATAGCTGCATCTGGTATACACCCACCTGAATAATATTAATAAGATTGTCACGGGAAAAAAGAAAAAAAATAGATATATTTTTATCACCAAATACCTGGAAAATATACCAATATATAAACTGTTATAAAATAATTCTACTTTTTTGCACGAGATTTTAAAACAAGGTATATGACTAAAAACACGACTATATATCCACTTAAATTTGGTGACTTATACTTTGTACAAAGAAGTTATAGATATCATTAAATATGTATATGTCATTAAATATGCATACTATGAGAATATATATAATAATGTTACTAATAATAGTTTTGATTAATGCATGATAAAAAATTATATACTTTCGAGAAGTATCTTCATAGTTTCTGCTTTATCTGTATTTTTGCGAAATTTGTGATTGCATGGCTCATCTTCCTCTTCACCCGATGTATAGTCATCCTTCCCTGCTGCCAACGCAGCACGTCCGTTTAAAATCAGCGGTCCTGTGTTCTTTATTTTAACCTAGCAATGGAAATTATACGTCACTTAGTAAAAGTACAGACAGGAGGAGGAATTCACAAGGTTTGTAAAAATATATCACATATTAACTGTTCTACAACATAAAGTCCCACGAAGATACAATCTCTTTACATAAATTATTTCAAAGTCAAAATAAATATTCCTACCAACATAGCGAAAAAACATGATAATATAAAATATAAAAATATATTCATTATGTTAATTTATATATTTTAGAAAATCTGCTTACTGCAAGATAATTGTATATAGAAACACGCAATTAGGTAATTAAACAATTCAACAAGCACTCGTAATCTTCATATTTATAATATGGAAAGACTATTCAGTTTGCTTGTACATACAGTTAATTATGTATAAGACAAAAAAAGTAACATTATATAAAGTAATATATGATATTCCAAACAACCATAATCTATAAATTTATATTTATCCAAATTTAATAATGAAAACAGAATACTCGCATGTTTTCAAGTAAATTGCCGAATGTACGCGTTAATTTATAAATATACATGTGAGTATAAATGTTGTATAAAAAGCGACGTTCAAATATTATAAACACGTCTTCTTGCTGTACCCACAGAGTTGTTCCAAATCTTGAAACATTAGTCAATATACTATGGAGAGATAAAATGTCTTCTATATTAAATAATAAGTTACTTAAATTGGAGAAATTCTAATAATAATAAAACATCATAGAGATAGCTTACTACTAGATCATCTGTCTTTATTTCTAAATCTTTTTCCTGTTTAAAGGACATATTCGCTTGCTCAGTGTCCAGTTGCATTTTCTCTTCACCTTTCTTTTTCCTCCTCTCCTGATCTAGTTGTTTCATCAGTTTTTTGCTCCTCGACGATTTCTTGACTATAAAAACTTCTCCATCGTCCGCTGCAATATATTAAAACTATTAATCTCAGGCAACAAAAATATGTAAGATACTTTGTAAAAAAGACTTAGTAGAAACAGCATCTACTACCTAAAAAAAAAAGTTATCTGTCTAAAACAAAACTGTATCTATATTAGAATATTTCTTGCTTCCTTTTCATTATAATTACAATACTAAACACTACTCAAAATAATTATGAGACAAGTTTTTTTAATCTATTCTTGTAAGTAATGATTTGAAAACTTACACAATATATTCATATTGTATAATATTGTGTTATATTTTTTACTTTCAATACAAATATTTATATAGACTCATATTTTTTATTTCTTTTACTAATATTTCAACAAAAATATTCAAAGAAACGATTCTCAAAACATTTTAAGCAGTGTATATATATGTAGTATATATATGTAATAAATATATCCGTACATTACCAAAAATAAAATGAGTATGTCATTTGAATACTAAAATAAGCAGCTGATAGTAAATCAATACCAATGAATCGATAAAAGAGAATCATATCTTCATTACATATAATAAATTAATCAACCAATTACTGGTTTTACATTATATTGAGAGTCACAAGTCTTTTTAATTAACCCATATTCAGTAATCCACAGTTTATATAATGTAATTTCACAAGGTTAGAAGTTTTGAAAAAAATGCTCTCTCTACTAAATAATCATTATGTTATATAAATAAAATTCAAGATTAGAAGATCCTATTTAGTATTAAATATAAAATTAAACAGCACCGAAGATGTTTTAAATTTCTATGTAGATACATTCCATAAATAAGTTTTTTATACTTTTATAATAATAAATTCTGTCATTCTGAAATTATAAATGTAATGATAATATATGTAATGAAGGTTACATTGCATATAATGTGTTATATATAATAAACCTAATAGGTCTGTTTGATTCCAAAGAATCAAACTGTACTAGTACAGACTATTGCAACAAGTTAAAGTGAAAGAAAGCATATTTGTTTCTTTCTAATTTATTGCACTAGTGCAAAAGTTCACCAAAAACAGATTTAATGACTGTTCAACAGAAGTTAATACTTAATTATTATTGCCTCTGATTATGTTATATTCTGTTGGGTTTGTAACAAAGATGTAAAGATATACTTCAACCACAAAGAATAATCAATTTATGTTTACTAAACGCCGACTTCGACTGAACAGCAATGTGAGCATGAATGCATAGCGTATAATCGTGCGTATATGTATATACACCTTCTTCCAGCTCCTCTCCGAAACTGAGGAGCGTCTGCTTTGGTTTATCCTTCTTCTTCGCTTTAACTTTGATAGGTTGCGCATCCTCCACTTCCATTCTGTTTTCATTATCTTCATCCTCATCGTTGAAAGGACGTCGTCGTATATTACGCTTCGGCTTGTTGAATACAGACATTGCCGTTATATCAACGTTCCCAGACAGCAAGACGAAGGTACAACGTGACCAGAAATCGAAACCTAATATTAAAGTCGCTTGGCAAAAAGTGAAACGTATCACATTACAAGAAACTAATATTGGACCGAAGTAAATCACTCGTTACACCAACGGATTTGTGACACGCGAAGCTGAAAATGGTGCAAATACTCGTAGAATAGTCAAACAGAACCAAAGAGAACTGACAAAACTGGATGAAGCGGTATGCACGTTCGAACGTGGAATATCGTATTTATTGAGATGAGCGACGTATGTTCTTCTTCTTTCTCCTTAAGCCGGCATCTCATAGCGCAAAAATATTCAACGAAAAACATGAAAAACATTAGTACGATCACGTGACAAATCATAACCATTCCGCTTTTTTTTTATTGCTTTTTCTGTTTCCCTGATTGGTCACGCTGGCTCCGTGCGTTTCGTTCCGTTGAGAATTCTGTGCTATGGAACGCAGACCAAGGTATGAATTAGCTTTTAGATTCGCGTATGCATCGACAAAGAACAACGCATACAGAACAATGTTTCGCGCTCTAACCACATGGCTACGTTCCAAAACTCTATCCAAGGCTGCGTTCAAATTCCTTACCCGGGTGCACTCTAATACAAGAAGTGCTATAGTATATGTGACATATACTATAGTGTTTCTAGTAACAGAGTGCACCCGGGTAGGGAATCTGAACGCACCCCAACGGGTAGAGTAGCATTTAATTGACCAGTAAGAACAAAGATAACTAAGATTTCTTTATCATGATTGGTCAATTAAATGTACTCTACTCTCCGAGTAAAGCAGCAACGGTAAAATGTCCGCTTGCGGCAATATAACAACGCAACTGTGTAGCAACATTGCAATGCAATATATATGTAATATTATTAATATAATTTGTTATACAAAGTAAAACCCAGATAACACTTTTACAGGAATATCATACTAATAAATACTAAAAAATTATTAGTAATTATATATTAGTAATTCAGTAATTTTTTCGTCAGTACTTAATTTCTGGTGAATACTGAAATTAAAATCACTATTAAATATTGATATTAAATATTGATAGTAATCAAATACTGAGAATTATTTTGCGAATGTGAAAAATAGGAAAATCATAATATTTAAAAAAATATATTTATAATTCCTAATTATCTTGTGTCTCATAAACTACTAGGTATCAAAGATTGTCAATACACTACTACAAACATTCGTGAATCTTCCCTCGATAATTTCGATCTCAAGCGGTATACCACCGGTCACCCATCTATGTCCTGACTCCGTTAAAGTGTTGCTTATAACCTGACGATCGAGCGGTATGCGGCGATTCCCAATGACTCCAATGATATTCTTACGATTTGTGTTTATATAATTTATCCTTATAGTGTTCACAATATATTATAACCCAGTATATTATATCTAGCAAACATCAAATAATAGTTATATAACTTTTACTTTATGTTCGTTGGATAATTTACTGATAGATACCCATACAGCACAAATCTTCAAAGAACGTTCTAAGGATGTTCTAAGGACATTCATACATTCTAAGAACGTCCCAGAACATTCTCTGAAGATTGTGTGCTGTCTGGGTATTGAAACAACGCAACAACATTCGATATGAGATAAATATTGATGTAATGTAGTGAACCAATAATAATTACTTTTAGATTTTTAAAATAGAATGTTAACATAGAATGTTATAATGATTAATCCAAACCAAAAAAATAAAAAATCTAAGAAAATCCAAATTAAACAAATCGAATTACTAAATTTTGAAAGAAACTTTTATAAAATACTATTTAAAACAATAGTGTTGTTCCATAAAATGACAATTTCCTTGAAATAAAAATTTTTATTTCTATCATTTTAAAAAATTGATATTTTGTTTAATGGTACCTGCAAACAGGATGCGGTAATGCTTGCCGCGCAGCGGAAGGAAGTCCGCAAATTTTATTATTATGTAACTCTGCTATTGACCTTTTGAATAGATTACTTCCGACGACTTTCAACCTTTTTATACGCGTTCCTATTTTTCCGCGCAAATCACGTATCGTTCACGACGACCCATCTCCAGACTAGTGTCACTGTCAGCGCGTAACGTCATCAATGGGTACGTTCAGCGAACTCAACAGTTGCACAACAGTTGAGCAATTCGTCAATGTAATTGGTCTAAAGTTAGAGATTTAACAGTAAGGACCAATAATCACTGATCGCTCACTAATCAGCTATGTTTTCTGAACGCAGCCAATCATCGTCATTTCGCTCATAAAATAAATCGGACCGATCGTGAGCGCGTTGATAGCGCTGTGAGCGTATTTTGGACCGCAGCCTTAGGGCTATCGCACACAAATTGACATAACTGCATATGCATAGCATAAGACCGTATGTACCAATGAGCATCGAGTATTAAGTCGCCATATTGGTGTTCGATGCTTAATATTCGATGCTCATTGGTCCATACGATCTTATGCTATGCATATGCAGTTATGTCAATTGTGTGCGATAGCCCTAATATTCGATGCTCATTGGCCCATACGATCTTATGCTATGCATATGCAGTTATGTCAATTTGTGTGCGATAGCCCTTAACCTTTAATTTTATTACAGAAGAGCGCGATGGCCGTATTTAAAATAATGAGATTCACTGAGTTTGCGATGGCATACCGTACATGTTGTAGGAGATATTGCACCACAGAAGAAGTGTACACACTGTCAAAAAAGAAGATACCACACCCGTACCTAAATATTCATCCGTGGAAATCAGAACACGAATTTACGAAATATTTGTTGAACAACATTATTTACAACGCAGGTGGAAGATTATTATATTTGTTTGTTTGAAGAAACTCACGAAAGTATTTTTATAGCAATTACTTATTTTAATTATATATATCTTATTATATATTGTATAATCCAAAAATTCCAATATAAAAATTTCGACTTTATAATAAATCACTTAAAGTTTATATAGAATTATATAGAGAATTAAGTTTTTTTTATTATGTTTTTTTTTCAATGATTATATGTACATATGTACACACATATACATATATACACATGTATATGTTGTATTGCTTAACTACTGCAAATAATATATTTCTAAATTAACTTGAAAATGTCTTTTTCAGATGGAATTGTTGCGATAAATAAACCATATGGTATATCTACACGCGATAAATCTGCAAATAATAATGATTTTTCTGCAAAGAAATTTAATACGATTGTGGGGGCAGTGGATTATTCCATTAATGGAGTCTTACCATATATTGCAAAAGAATTAAATATACCAGCCTTGATACCATGCACAGGATTGGAAAAGTATATCAAGAAAATCTCTTCTTTTCCTATAAATATATAAAGATTTTACTATAAGTTATTGTTTCTTTCAATAGATACACATCTGGTGTTTATGTGTTAGCAACTAATAATGATATACAGCAACAGGTACAGAAAGCAGTAAAACGAGCAGTTGCATTTAACAAATTTAAAAGATACTGGGCAATCACGATTAAACATCCAAATGAGATCAAAGGATCATATCGTTTAGCAGTTAAGTCACAACAGTCTCAATTGGGATTAAAAAGGGTAGGTGTTACATCTGTATATAAATACTTCATATAAGAAATAAAGTCCTTTAATGTGTATTTCAGCCTGTTTTTGTGAACAAATGGTCTAAAAACGAAGAGAAAAGAAAAGATGTTATGATCATGAATGTGAAGTACAAACTTCTGTCGAATTCAACATATAATTTGAGTTCTCTGATAGAAATAGAATCGCCCGCGAGGAAGTGGCAGTGTATCAGGTTATTTGCTAGCGTTATGTTGCACAGTCCTATTCTCGGAGACAATTTTCACGGATCGCGAGTTCAGAATATCATGGGCACATGGATGAAAGTTGATCCATTTGCTGATTCGTGTTTGGAGATGCCAAAAATAAACCGTCAGTTGTTAGAATTGCTCAAACTGACACCACGTCAACAAGAAATTATTCCAACTCATCTCCATGTAAGAAGTATATGCTTAGATGGCTTTGGCAAAGAAAAAAAGAATCTAGTGCTGAAAGCACCTTTGACGCATCCTTTTGATTGGACATGCAAACAGCTTATGTTTAAAAATATACCATGTGAAGCAAATTATACAAGTGTGGAGGACAAAATTCCATGTGAAATTTTGTAACAGTGATATGTGCTTAGTATGTGTATATATATATATATATATATATATATATATATATATATATATATATATATATATATAT